AGACATAGACACTTGTATGGAATCGTGCATAAAGTAGGCATGTCACACTGTATCTTATGAATGATCACCAAGTCGTGTTGTTCGGGGCTCCGACCCAAATTTGGAAACATTTTCGAGCTTTTTTTTTTTGTTTTTGATTTCTTTTGTTTTTCCTTCTTTTTTTCCTGTAAATTTGTTTTTTTTTTTTTTGTTTATTTAATTTTTGTTTTTTTTTTTTTTTGTTTTTTTTTTTTTTATTTTTTTTGTTTTTTCATTTTTTTTTTTTTTTTTTTTTATTTTTTTCTGTTTTTTTTTTGTTTTTTTTTTTTTTTTTTCGCTTGTATATTCTTCATTCGAGACTTGCGGGAAGGCTTGAAACAGTTCGCAAACGAACCGAGGTCGTTCGAATGTGGCCGAAGAGGACATTGGCACGGCGGAAGGACGCTCCAAGCTTGTCCGCAAGGCCTGAGGTCGCAGGATGCTCGGCCGAACCACCCAAGATGATCTCCAGAGCGCCCAAACGGCTTGGAAAACGTTGGGAGAGACGGCGAGGAAAAAACATTCCAGAGGTCCGGACAACGCAATGAAAAGCATTGGCTTTTTCAGCGGATTCAGGCATTGTCGTTTGAGGGTGCTCCCACGAGCCATGGCGGCTCACAACGTTCCCAAGACAGCGCCAAGACAGGCCTAGCGACGTCCAAGGCAGAATCATCACAGCCCACGCAGGCCCCAAGTAAGCCGCAGAATCGCCCAAAATGTGGACCTGTTTTGTACGGAAGTTGTCGCGAGCGCGTCCCTAAACTCCGAAATCCTGTGGTCTGCGGATTCCGGGGTTTGGAGTGCGCGCAGAGGTTTGTGCGCAGAGGTGTAGCTATATGTGTACACATATGTCTGCGTGTGTACTTGTGGGATAAATTGTATATGTAGATGACGTGTAACTTGGTGTGATCTGCTTCGAGGCGCGAGGCCGCCATCCGTGTCATCGTCATATGGAGACTCGGATGGGTGCAGTCACGCTCGTGTCGGCCATTGCATGGTACGGCGATCCAAGTACAGACATATAATATTGCATTTAAGTGTGTATGTAAGCGTAAGCATGTCGCACTGTACCATGTAACCCTTCTCACGGGGCTAGAAGCCAACGTGCGTTACTTGGGAAGGCGTCTTGATGTGTGTTGCGCGTGTTATCGCATCCTCCCTTCCCATATTCTCTGTTGCTTTCGCCCCGCATGTTCTGATGAGAGCACCGAGCCTGTATGTACATCTTACGTCCGATCGCCGGCCCCTTTGTGGGCAGCGCGTCGATGAACCCAAGGCCTTCCTGCATTGATGTGGAGTTTGGGCAGACGTCCTCGCGCCAGGATCAGCCGTGGTTTTCATTGGCTTGTATACATAATTTATCGTTTTTTTTGATTGGGCTCGCTATTTTGTTCGCTCGTTGGTGGGGAATCTTCGCTGAGGCATATGACCACGCATGGATTCCGACAGCGCATGTGAACCAGGTTGGCCGCATAGTACGGCCCCAAAGGCAAACCGGCTTGGAATCCCGGCAGGTCGCAGACGTGTTATCGGAAACCGTGGGAGCATGCTAGCAACGAGTGAATTGACATCCAGACGTCGGCTTTCGGAGCGCGCGTGGCCTTTCCACGCTGCTTGGGTCGATTCGGTGAACGTCGTTCCTTTCTTATATCTGTGGGGTGGCAGCGCGGCATCTAGGTCCGTCGTGAAACTCTGCTTGTAGCGGCACAAGTCGGAGACCCAGGCCGTCGTGACCAGCCGAGGGGGGGCGAAGAGCCGAGGTGCGGGAGGCGCGCCGTGGCAGTGTGAAAGTGGGCTGTGGACACCGATGGGTTGTGGACAGCGATGTCGCGCCCGAGCGCGGCCTCTCGTTGTCCATAGCACAGGAGTTGTCGACGAATTCCATAGCGCGAGGGGGGTTCGCTGGCGGTGGCGGCGACCACGACGACGACGGCGGCGGCGGCGGCGTCGTCGTCGGCTGTTATTTCTCGGGGGGTGCCCTCCTGAAATCTATCCTGGCCACCTTTGGGCTTCTGTGCCAGTGGCTCACCGGGAGCTGAACGAACGGCGCGCACAGTAGGCTTGCGATCGCATCCACGTAGCTTGCGTCCGTTTTCGCGTCCGGTTCTTCTCGGTGGTCTTCGCTTCCGTTGTCGTTTCTTCGTCGTCGGCATCGTCCGCGGCACCCCCTGCTCAAGTGCATTTGCTTAGGTGCAGCTTAACGACCTACAGTGCGCCAGCGTCCACGTTCGCTGGCCGGCAAGGCCCTGCCAAGAACTAGCCGCCGCCCATGGCGCTCACTTACGCGGGGCCTCGTCTGGCGCCGCTGGGCAATACCTTCGAGGTCTTCGAGGAGCAGCCGCGTCACTTACGACGCAGCTGGAGCTTCTCGGGGCACGTGCCGTACAACATCCACCGGTCGGTCGACGATCTTGGGGAAGGAAGTGGCATCGAGCGGTGCTCTGCTTGTGCTGGAGCCGCTGGCCCGGGGTTCTCGACCATTGCAGCCCAGCAGGACCTGGCGGCCAATCTTTAAGAGAGTTCCCCGTCGTATGTGGTTCCGGACACGGAAGACGGCGAAGGGCAGTACGAGTGGTCGGCCCGAAGCAGCGTGCGTGGCTCGGCGCCAGCCCCGCCCGCTCAGTTTCCGCATCCTCGCCCCCGCCAGTGCAGGCTGGCGCAGCGCGGCCATTGTCCAGATGTTGACCGGTGCCCTATCAGCCACGCGGCCGTTGCCTGGCGGCCGCGAGGGTCGCGGGCCGGGGTGCGTCGCCGTGTTTGAAACGCTTTGCTTCCCGACGGAGCCGTGGGAGCTCGTCTGTTTGATCCTTTGTGATCTACTCTCGCCTGGCTTTGCGCTATTCAGGCGATGTAATTCTAGTGTGTACATACCATGGTGTTCCACCTCCTTTTCGTGCATTCCCGCTCGTTGTTGTATACGCATACGCTTTGCTTTCCCGCGCAGCCGACGTGCGGCGCCGGACACCAGGCAAGTTCTTAAGTTCTGCATTCGCGTACAGATGCGTATGTTTCAGACACTGCCGCTCGTTCACACCTGGCCCACGCATGGAAGTCCGTCCCATCGGTTACCAACTCGTTCGCGCACTTGTATTCCGCCCGCGCGCCGTTGGGAAAGAGCAATACAATCTCTTGGCGGGAACACGGCTCTTCAACTCTGGCGCATGTTAACAGCCACGGTTCGTTCGACCACCGGGTGATTTCTTTGTTGGGAAGCGGGGAATAGAGTCCCTCCATGACGGTGGCCCCGACGGCGGCGAAACGAACTCGACCTCCCCCTTCCGCTCCATCCTCGCTTTGTCTCCTCAGAGCGTCTGCCTATGTTCGGGGGGGCCACGGGGATGGCCGTCGAAGTTCGAGGATGGACGTTCGAGATTTTTGATTTCGGGGGCACCTCTCGTCGCCGCGGCTCCATCCTGCGGCAGAAGCTGGTGTTTTTTTGGCCCTGGAGGAGATCCGGGGGTCCGCTTTGGGCGGATATGGGGCCCGAAGGTCGGTGACTCAGGAGCGTCTCTGGATCTCTCGGACTTCCGCTGTCTTCTTTTGGCGACGCGTCGCCGTCGCGGTCGTCGTTGGCGTGAATGGCGACAGCGGCGGGAGGAGACGGTGGAGGTCAAGAAGCCCCCAAGAAGGCCGCAGAGTGGGCCTAAGAAGGGCCAAAGTATCATGTATCAGCGCTCTCTCGGCTGGTACATAATTCCCGGGTGGCTCTTGAGGCCTCTTTGGGGTTTCTTCGGCCTCTATTGGGGCACCTTCAGACTTCGGGGACCCCTTTGGGTCTCTGTTGGGGCCATCTTGGGGCGCTCTTGGGCGCTCCTCGATCATCATGGGAGAGCACGTGCGTCCAGATGGCTGGTGGAATTCATCCCAAAGCTCTCCAGGTGCTGTCTGCCGCGCTGCAGCATTCACTCAATACATTCATCTCGTTTGATAAGAAACTCCCTCCCCCGAGCTGGCCTTGAACAGTTCTTAAACAACAGTGAACAACTTCAAAAATCTCGTACCAGTTTCTTAAGCTAAATGGTCGTGCTGGGTGGTCGTGCTGCGTGGTCGTGCTGGGCGGTCGTGCTGGGTGCTGGGTGGTCGTGCTCGGTGGTCGTGTTTGGTGATCGTGGTGGGCGGTCGTGTTGGACAGTCGTGCTGGGTGGTCGTGCTGGGTGGTCGTGCAGGGTGATCGTGATGCGTGGTCTTGCGGGGTGGTCGTGCTGGGTGGTCGTGCCGGGTGGTCTTGCTGCGTGGTCGTTCTGGGAGGTCGTTCTGGGTGGTTGTTCTGGTTTGTCGTGCTGGATGGTTGTGCTGGGTGGTCGTGGTTCAGCGCTCGTGCTGGGTGGTCGTGCTTGGTTGTCCTTCTGGGTGGTCGTGTTGTGTTGTTGTGTTGTGCGGTCGTTCCGGGTGATCGTGCTGGGCGGTCGTGCTTGTTGGTCGTGCTGCGTGGTCGCGCTTGTTGGTCGTGCTGGGTATTCGTGCTGGGTGGTCGTCCTTGGTGGTCGTGCTCGATGGTCGTGCTGGGCTGCGTGGTCGTGTTTGGCGGTGTTGCCCGGTCGTGTTTGGCGGTCGTGCTTGGTGGTCGTGCTGGGTGCTCGTGCTGGGTTGTCGTGCTTGGTGGTTGTGCTGGATGTTCGTGTTTGGTGGTTCTGCTGGGTGGTCGTGCTGGGTGGTCGTGCTTCGCGGTCGTGCTGGAAGGTCGTTCTGGGTGTTTGTGGTGGGAGGTCGTGCTGGGGGGTTGTGCTGGGTGGTCGTGTTGGGTGGTCGTACTCGTGCTGGGTGGTCGTCTGTGTGTTCGTGTTTGGTGGTCCTGCTGGGTGGTTGTGCTTGGTGGTTGTGCTTGGTGGTCGAAACGGGTGGTCGTGCCACTGACGGTAGTCTCCAGCGCAGGTTCACGGAGTGCGGGGGTGAGGACGCCGTAGCATACCAGGCTCAAGCTGCGCGGTGTTTGGTTTGTGAACGAATGCCGCGTCCGCCCGACCAGGTCGCAGGAAGCGACGATGCAGGAGCGCCAGATGGCTGAGCCTGTCGCGCAGGCGTCGTCACCCGGCAGCGGCGCCCATCGCGCGCCGAGCACGCCGCCCATGGGCGCCCGTCCACGCAGCAGATCCAGGGGTCATGCTCGTCCAAGTGGGTGGCGCACCGCGGGCTGGGAGCAGACCTCCGCCGTCGACGCCCGGGGCAGCCGCCAGAGGGAAGATGGCGAGTCAGATGTGGAGAGCCAGCTCGAGGAGGACAAGTATGGGGAGGACTCGCAGGGGGATTGGGGCTGCGGGGGCAGCTGGTCGCGCACGGAGAGCTGGGGGAAGACCTCGTCCGTCGACGACGGGTGGAACTCCAAGTGGAAACATGTGGAGCCTAATGTAGAGGACCACGACGCCGGGTGGTGGCGCACGGAGGGCTGGGAGCACACTTCCGTCGTTGACGAAGGGGGTAGCTACCATGACAAGTATGGCGACAGCCCGGCGCAAAGCTGGCGCGACGACCAGATGTACGAGGCTGATTGGCGCGACGATTCGGATCGCGCTAGCAGCCATGATCCGCGCGTACCGTCCGGCCACCCCGCATCATGGCAGCAGTGGTCGGGGCACTCCGTCACGTGGGGGACTGAACAGAGCCGCGAGGGCAGCCAGGTCTCGCACTACAACACATGTTGGGACACCACCGAAGGTCGGGTCCGGCTGCAGGATATGTCTTACGACTATCTCAACGACCTGGCGGAAGAAATGGCCCCTGGAGCATACGTGACTTGCGTGTTAGTTGGGAAGTCTTTGCAGGTGTCGAGCATCAAGACACGGTACGGGACCACGAAGAGCTTGTACAAAGTGTACGTCGTGCAGCCGAAGCTCGAGGGCGAAGCTGTCTCGTCGTCAATCACAGGTTGGGGGCAGGCGGCCGAGCAGCTGCGCGCCTGCTCGGAGTTCTTCTTTCCTGGAGACGCCGTTGAGGACTGGCGGGCGTAAATCTGCGCTGTCCGTTTGGGCCGGGGGCATCGGCAGAACGCAGTTGTGTAGTGTGCATTCTTTGGCGGGAGTTTCACGTGGCCCGGGGCCCATGATGCAGTGCAAAACGAACTTCTCCGACAGCTCAGGGCCACTGTGGGGGGATGGGAAAGGGTGCAGGGCTTATACCGACCTGGATGTCCGCTTGGCCATCCAGGAGTGGTGCCGACGAAGGTTGTGGGGTTATTTCCTATGGGGCCTCGCGGTGGACCTCTCCATCCCCGTGCTGTTTGTTGAGCGTCCTCTGGCGGTGTCTCCGGGGTTCCGGGGATGTTTATCCTTGGCTCAGGGCAAGGTCCGACGTCGCGGATTCTCTGCGAGTGCAAAGGGGGAGAGGGGAAGGACGGGGCGAGATTTCGCGCCCATGAGGTTGGCCCCGTGAACGTCCACTCCGACGGGTCCATGGAGCTCCGCGACAAGCCGGCGATGAAACGATTGGACGTTCTCTGCGGCCCAGAGTGCACGACACCTCCATCGACCATCGAGGACGTCGCAGGCCTGCCAGCGAAGTCGAGGGCGAACGTGGCTGCGTTCGTCCATTCGGTGGGTGACGTAGTTCCAGCATCATCGGGAAAGTCGGCTCGAATGGTGGTGGATCTGGTCAGCGCCATGGGGAACGTTGTGAAGGCCACCATATGGGGCGAGGGGACGAAGTGGGCACTCCGTAGGGACAACCCCATCAAGGTGCTAGGGGCGGAGATCGACCGTTTCGAGGGGGGCGGGCGCGTCGATTGCCCTGAGATAGGCCAGCCCCCCCGCAAGCGCCGCTCTATGCGGTGGCCGTAGTAGCGCCGCACTTCTCGCCGCCTTCCTTGCTGGCGTTGTACGACGCGGGAGGTCGGCGGCGGGATCGGGGCCCTTGGGCCGAGGAGTAAAGGGATGAAGAGGATGCGACAGGTGGGCGAGGATGGCGACTGCAAGGAGTAGTTTGCGGCCGCAGGTCCAAAAGTATTTGAGCTCAGTCGTGTCGACTGTGGCGTCTTTGCTTCCGGCAGCCGATGTGTGGCGCCGGGAATCGGATGAACCGCATGCATGTCGCGGGGTGGTGGGGCTTCATTGCGCAGGGCGACCTCTGAGCAAAGGGGGGAGGATTTTGCACAGGGTGAGGCGAGTAGCCGAAGGTAGTCCGGACCGAGGAAGTTGGAGAAGAGAAGGGTGGGAGAAGGCATGCACACCAAGGTCGTAGACTACGGGCAGCCAACTTGCGGCGCCTTGCGGGAATTTTTCCCGGTCCTCCATACGCGAGGGCGGGTCTCAACGCTTCCCAACTATTTTCGCGCACTTGTATTCCATCCGCGCGTCGCTGGGAAAGTCAATTCTTGCCTTGGGGCAGAGAGGGCGGGGCTCCTCTACACTTCCGTCGCATCCACGCATCTCTTTTGTAGGCGCGTCATGAAATGAAGGTGTTGTGTAGGAAAGGAACTCTGGGGGTTCTCGGCTGGTTTCGGCTTCCGGGGGCCCTCGACGGGCCCTAGGATCGCCAGACAACGACTCGGACTGAATTGGTGGTAATGCGGAAAGCTTCCGCTTCAAAAACCGGTTTCCCTCAGGGCCCCTTTCCACAGCCCCGGAGGGTTTCCAAAGCCGTCCGAAACAGCAGCAGCGCAAGCAGCAGTCCCAGCAGTAACAGTAGCAGCACAGGAGCACGATAATTAGTAATCCAATTCCCAATTGCGGGGGAGTGCGAGCCCTGTCGACGCGAGCCGAAGTCAACATCGGAGCTTCTGGCGGCGTCAGCGACGGGACAAAGTCGCCCCGGAAATCGCTGGGGGCGGTGGCCGTTGCTCTACTCCACTCGTCCTTCTCTTCGTTTTCCATGAATCCTCCTCCTCCCCCCCCTTTCCTTCTCTATCTTCTTCCTCGTCCCCCCTTCTCACCCTTTCGTCTTCCCGCCCCCGTGCTCCGCGCGACGGCGTCGACGGCGCCTTCGTCGTCGACTACTTGGTCGACGTCATCTTCGTCGTCGATGGCTTGCATTTTTTGTCGTTTTCCTCATCCGGGCACCGTTTCGGCCTCCGCGGCCGCGGGGAACGGACCCAGGCGGGCTCGCGCGCCATCGTTTCGACAACGTTGGGGGACGACGACGGCCGCGGCGGCGGCGGCGTCCACGACGACGATGACCGACGCGAAGAAAGCTTCAAGAGGGTCTTCAAAGGGCCCAGGAATCATGTACCAACCGGGAGCCCGCTGGCACATGATTCCTTCGCCCCTGTTGGGTCCATCTTGGGAGCTTCTTCGGGTTGCCAAAGCGCCCGCAGAAAACAGGAGGGCTCCAAGAGTACCCCAAGGGTGTCCCAGGAGAGCTTGAAGAGCTCCCGCGCAGGACCTGACAACTTGTCAGGAACAAGGCCATCATCGTCATCCTCATCACCATCATCATCATCATCGTCATTATCTTCATCATCATCATCATCACCATCATCATCATATCATCGTCATCTTGGGGCTCTCAGAGACCTCCTGAAAGTTTCGGGAGACCCCAAGAGGGGCCCAAGAGAGGACCAAGAGGACTCCAAGAGGTGCCGAGGAATTATGTACCAACCGGAGCCCCGCTGGTACATAATTCCTCCGCCCCATATTGGGGCTCTTTTGGGGCTCTCTTGGAGCTCTTTTGGGGTGCTTCTTGGGGCTGATAAAGTAGTTGTGGAGGGCTGGTGAGCTCCAAAGAGTACCCCAAGAGGGTACCAGGAGGGCTCGAACCCAATAACTTGTGACGAACAAGGTCATCATCGTCATCATCATCATCATCACTCTCATCATCGTCATGTCACCATCATCGTCATTATCATCATCATCATCTCGGGCCTCCAAGAGAGCCCCAAGAGGTTCCCTGGAGGAGCCCCAGACGCCTCCAAGAGGGACTGCAGAGCAACTCAGTAGCTATGTACTAATCGGGGCCCCGCTGGTGCATAACTTGTCACGAACAAAGCCATCATCGTCATCATCATCATCAACATCGTCGTCATCCCTATCATAATCTTTGGTCTTCGAGGGATATCCAAAATAGCCTCTGGAGGGCACCAGGTCCCAAGAGAGGCCCAAGAGAGCTCCAAGAGCGTTCCAGGAAAAGCCCAGGACTTATGCACAAACCAGGAACCCGCTCACGTCGGGATGAAGTCTCGACGCCAGACGGCCTTTTCGAGGCACTGTGAAAGTGGGCGTGTGCACCGATGGGTTGTGGACAGCGATGTCGCGCCCGAGCGCGGCCTCTCGTCGTCCATAGCCCAGGAGTTGTCGACGAATTCCATAGCGCGCGGGGGGTTCGCCGGCGGCGGCGGCGCATACGCTTTCCCTTCCGCGCAGCCGACGTGCGGCGCCGGACACCAGGCAAGTTTTTAAGTTCTGCATTCGCGTACAGATGCGTATGTTTCAGACACTGCCGCCCGTTTCATTCCTGGCCCATGCATGGAAGTCAGTCTCATCGGTTACCAACTCGTTCGCGCACTTGTATTCCGCCCGCGCGCCGTTGGGAAAGAGCAATACACTCTCTTGGGGGGAACACGGCTTTTCGACTCTGGCGCAAGTTAACAGCCACGGTTCGTTCGACCACCGGGTGATCTCTCTGTTGGGACGCGGGGAATAGAGTCCGTCCATGACGGTGGCCCCGACGGCGGCGAAACGAACTCGACCCCCCCCCCGTTCCGCTCCATTTCCTCTCTTTTCTTCCCCTCCCCTCTTTCTTTTCCCTTTTCTTTCCCTTTTGTTGGTTTGGGGGTTTTTTTTTTGGTCCCTTTTGTTTTTTTTTAATTCTGCGCTCTTTTTGGGGTGACTAGCTCCACCCCCTGTTGTTTTTGAGGAAGGATGAATACCGTCAGATTGAGAATCAACATAGTTTCGGGTGGGCCACGGGGATGGCCGTCGAAGTTCGAGGGTGGACGTTCGAGGATCGAAAGGGATTGTTGGATTTCGGGGGGGGGGGGGGGTGGTTTGTGGGCGGGGCACCTCTCGTCGCCGCTGCTACATACTGCGGCAGAAGAAGACAGAAAAACTGGTGTTTTTTGGACCTTGGGGGATACGGGGGGTCCGCTTTTTTCTTTTGTTTTTTTTTTTTTTTTTTCTTTTTTTTTTTTTTTTTGGACAGATTTGGGGCCCGAAGGTCGGTGACTCAGGAACACCTCGGGAATCTCTCGGACTTCCGGCGTCGCGTCGTCGTCGCGGTGGTCGTTGGCGCGAGTGGCGACAGTGGCGGCAGGAGACGGTGGATGTCAAGAAGCCCCCAAGAAGGCCGCAGAGTGGGCCCAGGAAGGGGCAGGGCATTATGTACCAGCGCCCTCCCGGCTGGTACATAATTCCCGGGTGTCTCTTGAGGCCTTTTTGGTGTTTCTTCGTTCTCTATTGGGGCACCTTCAGACTTGGGAGGCCCTTTTGGGGCTCTGTTGGAGCCATCTCGGGGCGCTCTTGGGCGCTCTTCGATCATCATGGGAGAGCACGTACGCCCAGAGGGCTGGTGTAATTCATTCCAAAGCTTTCCAGGTGCTGTCTGCCGCGCTGCAGCATTCACTCAATACACTATCTCGTTTGATAAGAAACTCCCTCCTCCGAGCTGGCCCTCAATAGTTCTTAAACAACAGTGAGAAATTTCATAAGTTCGCACCAGTGTCTTAAGCTCGATGGTCGTGCTGGGTGGTCGTGCAGGGTGGTCGTGATGCGTGGTCGTGCGGGGTGGTCGTGTTCGGTGGTCGTGCCGGGTGGTCGTGCTGCGTGGTCGTTCTGGGAGGTCGTGCTGGATGGTCGTTTTGGGTTGTCGTGCTGGATGGTCGTGCTGGGTGTTCGTGCTGGGTGGTCGTGCGGGGTGGTCGCGCTGCGTGGTCGTGTTGGGCGGTCGTGTTGGGTGGTCGTTCTCGGGGGTCGTGCTGGGGGGTTGTGCTGGGCGGTCGTGCTGGGCGGTCGTGCTGGGTGGTCGTGCAAGGTGGTCGTGCTCTGTGGTCGTACTTGGTGGTGATGCTGGGTGGTCGTGCTCG